TTCTTTTTTATATGGAAAGCAAATAAATCTGGCTAACAATTTAGTAGGTAATATATCTACAAAAAAATTTAATACCAACTGCTCAACCTGATCTCTCTTCTCATGTTATAAATATACGCAAAAACTAAATATTGAGACTGTAACTAAAGATTTGCTAGGACAGTCCTTCATGTCAATTCAGTATGTCACAGGTGGAGGTGCTGCACATGATTTTAATATTCCTGGATTATTGTATTAATAAAACCAGAGTCTAAACAAGATATTAGGGTTGCTTGTTTATCATAATCTTTCAGGTTAACAATCTTAGGTAGGATATCACATGAATTTTCAATCTAGTAACATCTGCTTAATTTGGAAAATAAAACTAGACTATTACACACACACAACCGTAAATCCTGGTATAACAATATTAAAATCATTTTCAGGTTGGAATAGAAAAATAACAAAATATTTCAAGTCCACCTGAGCAGCCCTCTAAATTCTAATGATAAAAAAATATTTCATTTTTTAAACAAATTGAGCCATGACATTTTCTTTGGTAGATATCCAGACAGTTAAATTTTTTTACTTTGCTTTACTAATTTTATTCTCTTTTTGGAGATAAGAACAGACTTAGTCTTCAGACTCCTTACTGCTTATCACAGTAATCCATTACAGTTATTACTCTTAGTCTATTGCCTTAGTTTTCTGTTAGTTCATAACAAATTACCTCAACTTTAGCAGCGTTAAGTAGTACCTATTTATCACATCACGGTTTCACATTTTAGAAATATAAATCCCAGATTGACTGTTCTTTGCTAAAGCTGAAAATCCAGTTTCTTGCAGCTGCTGGACTACAGCCCTGGTTTTCCCTTTATTGCTCATCAGGGTCACCCTCCCTCCATGGCAAAGGTTGCCTGGGGCCCTGGTTCTTTGACTTGTCCAAAACTAGAGAAAAACTGCTTTCAGAGGGCTCTCCTGATTAGATTAGGGCCTCCTGCTTCCTTCTGCTCTGGGTTAAATTCAACTGAAAGGTAACTTTACTGCTGTGGCAAAAAAAACAACCTTTGTGAGGTAACTTAACATAATCAGATGTCTGATATTCTTGGATCCAAAAATCTTGGGTGTTTAAAATTCTGCCTTTAGCATTTATCATGGACTTGCTATTTTAGCACAACCATACCATAAAATACTATTGAATGACTATATTAATCAACATTTATGTTTATTTGATTATAATTTGACCCCCCAAAATTTTTACTTTGGTTTAAAAATTAACTTTAAGTAATAAAACATGAGTAAACAATAAAAGCTCCAGTTTAATTCTCCTAAAATATTAATCACTAACTTACCTCTGTTGGCACACACTGAAAGGTAGTGTTTTGTTTTGTTTTTTAATTTACCTCCCATCCTTTCTTAGCAAACTTGATCTTTTCTCAAAATATTTGGTTTTGTGACATCACACTGGACCAGGAATTAGGAGATACTGATCTTGTTCCAGCTCTTTTGCTAACTAGCCAAATATTTGAGCAAGTCACTTATCATAGATAGATTCATGGAACTTTGCTTTTGAGAGGACTTTCACATCATCTCTGCCAAGATTACTTGATTTTTAATTATTATGCAAAATCCCTGCCAAATTCTGCTTGGATTCCTCCTCTGGAATCTCATTTGAACTCCATTATTAAAACAAAACCCTTCTCTATATTAAATTGAAAGCTATATCTCCTAGTGTCAAAAATTCTAATAAATTACAGAATGTAAAACTATGCAGATTAAGTCTTTTTTCCTCTTCATACGGCAGGCTTTCAAATGTCTGAAGATTTTATATATTTATGAGTTTTAATTGAATACCATGCTGCTTGGACTTGATAGCTAAGAAACCTAGGGGTCTGGAGCTCAAGCAATTATAGCTCACATCATTATCCTGATTCACTCCTCTAGCATTTCATGCTGATGGCTCTTTTCTGGGCCAAATTCAGAACTAGGCATAGTCTAGTGTAGTCTAGTCTTCCACCATGCTGCTCTAGAATCTTTGTGTAAAATATATGTTAATGGAACTGTATTTCTTCATTACATGATCAAACCAGAGAGAATTCTATTATTCTACTTAGCTTATTAAGCTTTAAATGAGCTGCTCTATAACAGGCATCACACATTCGTTTGGTTTCTCATCTATTTTATTTCATTTTATGTATTTGGTGCAGGGTCTCACTACACAGCTCAGATTCATAGTGATCAACCTATTTTCCACCTCCCAGACTGGGTTGCCAGTTCAGTGCGCCCCAGGGGCAGGGCCAGGATGGCATGTGGGACTGGGGATCAATCCCCTGGTCCCTGTTCTTGCCAAAGCAGGTGCTTAGTCCACTGAGCTCTCTCACTGGCCCTAGTCTCTCATATTTAAAGTTCTAGAAAATGTGTGTGAATCACATTTCATTTACAGCAGCCATCCATTTTTTTCCAAATATAATGTATATCAATATATTTTCCACTTAGGAAAAGTTAAGAACCAACCCGTAATTTATATGAGTTTCAATAGAACTCAAGCTACTTAGCACTTCCATTGTACAGTATGGTTCAGTCCTACCAGGTATCATTCAAATATTCACCATGACCTAATTCACATTTCACTCGTGCTTTGATGGTTTGTTCTAGTAAACTGTTAGGAACTCTGTAAAAATAGAAAGCTCATATGGTCAGTAATACCCATCACTTGCTTTTCTCTGTGGCATTCAAAGCTACTTCCTGTCCTCTGACCTTTAATTCATCAGAGAAAGCCTGTCACAATAGAGCCATCTTCTTTCAGCTCTGTAGGCAGCTTCCCCTTTGGGTCACAGAATGCCAAATTGTGTAACAGACAGGTGCACTCGGTATCATTGTTCTGGGATTCTACAAAAGGCAGCCTATTTACCAGCTGGAAGAGAGAAGGGTGTGTTCACACTCTCATCAAATCCTTCCATTTACCGCTGCAGTGACAAGATGCTGATGGTAGCGGTAAGGTGCCATATACATATTTCCTGCTTATGAAGTCTTTCCAAAAATCCTTCATTTGTATAGATTAAGAAAAATGGAAAGCACATGCCTGTGAATCCACAAGTTAGGTAGGGAAGGATAATAATATGAAATCTAGTTCCATGATAATCCATGTAGATATTTATAGCTTTATGTTTCCTAAAGCTTTTATCAACAACAACAACAAAAAATCTGTGTCTCTCTAGAATGCAATTAACTTTCTCAAAGACTTGCTGCTGTGCAGAGCCCTGCAAGGACTATAGCTGGAAGCTACCTTGCAAGGACTATAGCCGGAAGCTGGATCCTGATCTCTGGGTCTCTGTGTCTCTGTGACCATAAGTAAGAGGAATGTGCCCTTCTCCCCTTATATAAGCAAATGCTGGAGGCAAATTCAAGATAGAAAGACAAAGGTATTTCCTGAAGTGACAGACCCTTCAGAGCTGACTCTTCTTTCTCCTCAGTCTGAATATCCCTGTTTCTGTCTTTCCCATTTCCTTCTCTGTCTGCCAGCAAAAGGGTCGCACCACTGGGATGCCTGCCACAGCTGTGACTCAGGTTCTGCTCAGCATTAATGCCCCTGTCCTTTCTTCCCAGGGAAACACTACACTTCTCAAATGCAAATCTAGCTTCATCACTTTCCTGCTGTGCTCTTTCATCTGTCACTAATGGATCTAGGATGAAGTCCAAGTTCTCTGGGGAGGCCCCCAGAGCCCTTCAGCTTGATGACTCACCACACCTTCAGTCGTGCTTGCTAGGGGCACACGATGTTGCTTTAATTCCTGAAAAATGTGCTCTCTGATGATTCCCTGACCCACAGATGCTGTCCCTGTGTCGAGGGCCTCCACCTGCAGACCCAGTCAATGCTGTTCCTGGGGCTGACACAGATTAGAAGCTGGCTGCTCTCTAGCTCCACTTCTGACTACCCCACTAGGTGTACCTGTGGCTTTGCTCACGTTCAGGGTCCTCACCAGCACCTCAGTGATTTGATCTTATTGCTTGGATGATTTTATTAAGTATTTATCTGAATACTAAACTGAGGATAGGGCTGATACAGTTTTTATTTCTCTATTCTAGTGCTTGACACTTCATAAAGTCACTAAACCAATTAATTAAATAAGATTTCAAACTAACTAAAGTCTACTCTGATTCCAATAAATCTGTAAGGTTTCGTGGCAATTCTATAATCGAAGAATGAGAATAAAAGAGAAAACATAAGTAATCAAAACTTAACACTTCCAACAGTTACTGGCACAAAATACTTATCCTCAATATTACTGAAGCCAGATCTATAAACAGGATAAATATTTGTGCTCTAAAAAGAAGTACTTTCTAAGTAGTTACCTCACTCTGCATTTGCTCCACACTGTATGCAGTGTGTTACACATAATATTTCAAATTTTTATAAGATATTACACTGTAAAATCAGGGTAATCAACACAAAATGTAGATATTCTGGTACAATGACAAATCAGAGTTGCTAATGATGATCACAAATTTACCTATAATAATCCCAGAAAATTAACAGGGAGGTGACAAAGTGACTGTCTCCTTGAAGAGACTGCAGTTCCTCAGATGCTGTTCCTACTGTCGCTAGCCTTGCCTTGTCAGTATTGTGTATGCCAGAGATACATGATTTTGTAATTCCTGGCCATTTCTTCCATAGATATGATTTTAGGCTGAAAAAAATACTACAGATACTGATGAAAGGGCATAAATGCAATTATGCTTATAAATTCTGCCATGTCTAACAAATCAACTTTTTCTGAAAAGTAATTTGGTTTTAGAATTTTTTATCTAGGTTATAAAATGATTTCAGCACACTCTCCTTATACATGGCACACAAAGGCAGGCCAGACACAGGAAAACAAGTTGTATTTCCTAACCAAAATAAAATGATAGCTTACGATTGCCCTCTGAAACACTGGAGGCATGTCCAGCTGCTTCAAAGCAGTGTACAGTCTAAACTTCTCCAAGTCACCTGTCAGTCTGAGCTCTATGCCGGGACTCACCTTGGATCGTGGAGGGGCTCGAATGTACCATTTGCAGTCCACAGCCTCGCTGGCAGAAGCTTTGCCTTCCTTCAAAATTTGTATGGACTCCACAATTCCTTCTGGGCCACCCATCTCAAACTCACACGCTAAATAATACAATAGCAAATAGTCAAAAGTGGCACTTAATGTCTAAGATGTTTGATATTCAGACAGATAATGAGGTTAAGCTTAAAATCCTAGGTTGTATAGTAATAAAAATAAGCTTCTCTACTGGAGGGTTAACAACCTAAGTTTGCAGACCAAAATTAGACAAATAGGAGGGCCTCAAGGAAAGCCAACATTTTGGCCCTAGCCTTCCAAGGTCAATTAAGACTCAGGACATATGAGAACTTGTACTGTAACGTCATATAACTCGGTAGTGTCCCAAATTTTCTGATCAAGGAGATTATAGGGCCAAACAGGAACGTGATCAATGATGTAGAGTGTGCCAAAGGAGAGTCACTTGGAGAGAAAACATTCTCTCAGGCTTTCACAGAGAGCACATTGGCCAAGCAATGGCCATGATTCATCCACATGGCTGACACTGATGAAAGATCTACAATCTGAGGTACAGGATCTTAGGATAAATCCTGAGGGGATTTCACTGACCTTATCAGACCCAAAAGCTACAACTCTTGTTGCATAGGTCTTGTTTTACATTGGTTTTAACCATCCAGCAGAAAAGTATAAAAACGAAGTATAAGAAGTAAAGCCATGCTGTTATGTTGAGCTGTGGGGGACTCAGGTTAACAATTTCTGACATTGCCAGTCAAGCGGAAGACCCAATACTATTATGGACTACTGGATTCTTTTAGAATATTTTGCTGAGTTCACACACCTATAATATTCAAATAACGGAACTAAACAAAAGAGGGGATACAGATGAATGTCCATTTTGTATCTGTGTATTCAAAATGGTTAGGATAGATCTATAGTTACATTCTCTTAATGAATAGAGGGATTTGTTCTGATAGTGTTTGTAAATAGGATATCATGTCCGCATCTTGTACAGCAATTAACCACTAGGAAGAATGTATGCAGTGTGTTAATTATTGAAACTGTCCTACCAATTTGGTTTGAAACTGTCTCATCACTATTTGTTTCTCAATAAAATTATGGAAAATAAATAAAAATAAATAAAAACAAAAAAATTGTTTAGAAAAAGTGGCACTTGAGTAATACACCAAAATTTTATTTTATAGCAGAAAACAAATATATCTTAACAGTACCAAATACCTATTTTACCAACCTGGTAATGGTTTCAAAACTCCAAGGTCCTTAAAGTCAGGATCTTAAAGAATTGAGAAAAAAGACAATTAGTCCTAGTCTACATTTATTATTTACAATGATGTTGAATAATATATTATCAAATTATCTAGGAATCAGCCTAAGAAACTCATTAGGGGAAAAGAAATCATAAAATAAAAAGTGCTTGAGAAGGTTAGAACTAAATGTTACATAACATAGTGTTGTAGGCAGCCAAGTGAGATAGAAATATTATAGGAAGTCAGACTGGGCCAGGCCCTCAAAGGAGCCAATATGGAAGACAAAATACCTTGAAACTGAGAGAAACACTCACTTCACTGCGGGTCAGATTTCAAGACAAAAGATTAAACAAATCCACCCATATACCTCCTCAGGGTTGAGCATCAGACATTGATATTCTAAATAGGTCTCTATTAGCTTGAAAATGGGTCACTAACTCAACCTACTAAAGGGAAAGCCCATTCTGTGTTCATGCCCTCTTGCTATGTGACTTGCTTGCCAATTTGATCTTGATGTAATCAATTTTACCTGAGCAATTGTGCTTATAATCATATTAGTTGACCATAGTTTGTCCCACCTCATGCCCAGCAGTTCCCATGTTTCCTGTGTTGGGCCTCCCTCACCTCAGGGATTTGCTCTACAAAAATACCTAGAAAAGGCAGATGTCTGTCTGTCCCTTTCTCAGATGGAAGCTATCTTTCCCTCAATAAATTCTGCCCTTAATCTCCACCGTTCCTAAAATGCATTGTTCAATTTCAGTGAACTCAAATTTGTCCTGGCTACCTTTCAGGTTGGAAGTCTCTTTCCCCCATATTAATAGTATTGTCACTCTTTTTTTTCTTTATAAAAAAAAATTAAGAACTTGCAGTGGCATTCGGGCACCTCATCATCAAACACAAATCTCACTCCTTACCTCTAACTTTGTAGCTGGACAATCAATCATTTTTTAGAAAAATAGATCCATAAGTAATGCAAAGTTTGGGTCAATCTACCTTTGCAAGTCTAATACATTTTGCATATATTTGGGTCTGTATGTTCTATACAGAATTCTTTTGTCTGATTCAAATGATTCTATAAATTGTCAAAAATCCACTTTTTGCCTGGAGTATTGGAGGTACAAAGTTAAGGTACAAAATCTGGGCCTCCTATCCTCTGAATGAATGAACTGTCCTGTTTTCAGGAAACCATCATTTCATAATACTACCTTTCAAGGTTTTCCTCTATTTTCTTTTTCAACTCAGCATTCCCTGACTTTCTCTCAGATGTTTATGGAAAACACAATGCATAAAACTTGGTCCAAGATACTTCCCAGTAGAAATTTCTAGACCAATGAGTATTTCTGCTTATATAAGCTTATTGCCTACTTGTATGTAACAAAGAACTATATGTAGCAGCCAGCTCTTAAACATATTACCGGAACTAAGGAGGCCACTCAAGTGTCTTTTTTTTTTCAGTACTGGGGGTTGATCTGAGAGCCTTTGCACTAAATTGTTTCCTAAGCCTATTTTAAAGTTTTGAAACAGGTCTCACTGAGTCACTAAATTGCTCATACTAATCTTAAATTTATGAGCTTAATTAACTGATTAACATCAGTCTTCTTGAGCATTGGTATTACAGGCATACGAAACCAGACCTGGCTTGCCTATTTGCACTAAGCTGCATGTACAGCCTTCATTTTGTATTCTCAGTCAGGTTCTTGGTAAATTACTGATTTTCTTTTTTACTCTAAATACTGAGATTTTCATTATTCACTGTGTTCCTTAACTATTTAATCTACTGCTCAATTACATGCATTGTTAATATTATCACTTTTTCATTAGAATGTTTTTGCTGTATATACACATAACTATTCCTACTTTTTTCTTTTTGGTGGAAATGTAGTTGGCATTCTCTCTGGTTTTTCTTTTCTTTTTTTTTTTTTTTTCTTAGTTTGGAGGGTAGCATTTGTCATTTTTTTAACTTATGCCAGACAACGTTGCAAGAAATGCCAGTTCTGGGAAATGAATGTTTATTTTATTTTTGTATTAATAGTGATAGTGCTGATGATATTAATAAAAACTGTAGAAAAATATTTTGCAACTCATTTATATTAATCACCAGTAATACCATAGTCATAGAAGTCCCACATGGCCTGAAAAAACAAAAATATTTTTGAAATGACTTTAGTTGTATTTAATAATACAAAGTTTGATTGATAATCTGAGGTTATATGGGGTTAATGACAAATTATACAGATTAAAATTAAGTTGGTTTTAATAACTAACATCCTAATATCTAGATGTCTCCTCAAATCTGCTCTTGACACACCATCTGAATAAATTTCTGAAAATACAAGTCTAATTATGATACCAACTGGCTTTCCTTGGCCCGCACAATGATACCACAGCCCTCTGCTCTTGCTCCCCACTCCCCAGCCCCATGGTGCTTGGCTCCACCCTCTCCTTTCTGTTCACACCCATCCACATGTCTCAAAGATGCTCAAGGGTGCTGCTGCAAGTGGAGTACTAACTTCCTCTTACCTGTGTGCAGTGCTTTTCCTCCAGGTCTTTGGAGACCTGGTTTTTCTTTGTTTGTTTATTTTTGCCATATATCCATTGGTTCCATATTTACATTTTCAGAGAACCGTTCAGTGACAATCCTCTAAAGTACCATTGCCTCTAATTTTCTTGCTCTCCCCTTGCAGGTTCTTATTACAGTTTACCATCACGCTAGTATTTGCTTTTTACTTTTCACCAGCCATCTGCTCCTACTAGCCCTTAACAAAATGCACTCTATACAGGAACTATGTTTCTTGATTCCTTCGCTCTTCAGGACACACAGCGCAGTAGGCACATAATAAATGTCACTGAATTAAACATAATTCATTGAATATAGAAAACAATTAAATTTGCTGAGATGATATTCCTGCATATTTGTGCATTAGCTAGACCTTATACTTATACTTTTTCAATCCACAGGAGTTCACAGGAGATACATCGCAGGGAGCATTCTAGTGAGACCACCTGGCAGAGACTTAGAACGTACTGTCCTAGCTGTCTTGCAGGTACATACAGTTGACCACATGACAGTTCTGCTCAGTTAACTGAAGACCAAAGGTTGGAACTGCAATGTGGGCTCATAAAAGCTCCTTGAGAAACATCCTCCAGCAGTTAATTTAAAAAACAATGGCTGGCGAGATAGCTAAGCAGTCTAAAAACACATGCATAGACAAGCTTAGTCAGGCACAGGGCATCCCTGGTACCATGTGCCCTCAGGGTGAGCTGAGTCAGCAAAAACAAAACAAAGAAAAACAAAACAGAACTTGGGGCTGGGGAGATGGCTCAGTGGAATAAGCGCTTCCAGGGCAAGGGCAAGGGCAAGGGCAAGGGTAAGGGCAAGGGCAACGGCCTGAGTTTAATTCCCAGTTCTGAAAAAAAAAAAAAAAAAAAAAAAAAAAAAAAAGATACCTACAAAAGTATTTTGAAAACACCGAACTTCACAGTTTCACATCTTAAGTGATTATGTAGAGCACACAGCATTTTCCTTGACTCAAGTTATACTTTATATGAGCAAATAATCAATTATTTGAAATTGCTACAATTTTAGATTTTTAAAAAATATTATCACCATTTTTGTTCCCCTAATTTAGAGGTATGTCCTTTATGGATCTAAAGGTCAAACTATTTTTACTGCAAAGGTAAAATATTACTTCGTCTTCAATAGTCTCATTTTATTAAAAATTCATAGCAAATGGCAAGGTGGCACATGCCTGTAATCCCAGCACTATGGAGGCTGAGGCAAGAGGAATCAACTGCCTTGAGCCTGAGCTACATAGTGAGCTCAAAGCTTTCCTGAACTACTTAGTGAGACCCTTTCTCAAAACAAAACCAAACAAAACAATACATGACAATAGCTAATGAAGAAATTGTACGCGCACGCGCGTGCATGTGTATGTATGTGTGTGTCTAATGTATTTGGTTGTTACAGGGTCTCAATGTGCAGCTTGAACTTTTTGTGAGCCTCCTGTTTTCAGCCTTTCCAGTGCTGCGATTACAGGCATGTGCCACTATGCCTGGACTCTGGCTCAGCCTGACCTGGGGGCGGGGCTGGCCTGGCATGTGGTGCTGGGATCCAACTACAGTCCCTGCGCTTGCCTAAGCTTGCCTAAGCAGGCACTTTACCTCACTGAACTATCTTTCCAGCCCAGAATTTGCTTGTGTTTTTAAGAATATTCTAAGGTACAGAACTTTTGGCTAATAATGATGTGAATTTTCAGAGTTTGGTTCAGTTTGTTCTCAGTGATTTTACTGGACTCTTGACTGGCCATCTTGTGTTCTCATCAATATAACCCCACAATGGGCTGGAGAAATAGCTCAGTGGCTTAAGCACCTGCCTGGAAATGTAACCCAACTATAATCTAAAAGCTGTTGTCTTGAAATTTCATACTTTTTCTTGACTTGACACAGAAGTATAGCAAGTGTAAGTATACTTTGTCCTTTATTATGTGAGTCTATTTTTACATCTGTGTATTTATCCATTTATATAGTTTAAGATCTTTTATAAATATTTAGATTCTATCTAAAAGTACAGAAATTTTAAAACTTAATTACATTTCTCTTCAAATAAAAGACAACGTGTTTCTACTTTATTTATTTTATGGATATTTATATTAGGAAAAGGAGATTAATTGAAAGACTCACTTTCTCCCCCTTGGCTATTCTATGTTTTTTATTTATTTATTTATTTATTTATTTATTTATTTATTGGAACAGGGATTGAACTCAGGCCCTTGTGCTTGCCAGGGAAGCACTTATTCCACTGAGCCATCTCCCTGGCTCCCTATTCTATTAATTTAAAGGGGCAAAGAGTAGATGAAACTATCATTTCAAATAGGTTTCTTATTTATGAGAAGGAAAAAAACATTTCAAATAAAATGAGAAAAGCTGCAGTCAGAATGAAAATATAACAAAATTTACCTTTCAATTAATTTTATGGACCTTTTTAAGACAAAAAGCATTTTGTGATAGTCTTATTTTAACAGTTTGA